CAACAGAATTATGAAGAGTCGGTAAATGAAGTAGCTTCCTAAAACTGCCTTGCGTCATGCTTTTGAGCCACAGCGCAAAAAATGGACAATCCCGAGCAAGCAATTCGGCAGACCATGGAGGACCCGCTCGTACTCAGAATGCTCAAGAAAGTGCATAAATAGGTCCAAACAAAGTACTACGATCGTGGGAGGGGAACGACGGGTTCCGCAAAACCTAGTCTCGGTAATGTGGTCGATTAGTAAATGAAATACACAACTCAACCAACAATGAAACCTTGGCGGGGAGTGCTTTAACAGACGAATGTCCCTTGAGCCTGCTTTCGAAATTTCGGTGGCGGTAGCATTCTTACATGCGATTTTGTGTCGTCAGCTCTGTAAAACAGCGACATTTAACATTAAATAGCATGCAGTAGATAAGATTTTAATACGAAATTCTTGACTTGTTCCCGGGATAATCACCTATGGGAAGCAAAAATTCCGCAGATTCGTTCGGAGCTTCTTGGTGTTGCAAATTCACTCGACAAGCTTCGTTGTTTGAAAACACAACTAAGGGAGTGGGATGTTTTTTAATGCTTCTCAGCGCATGCTGCGGTAACGCTGGTCTTAAGGGGGAAAGGAGTTTAATCTACCATCTTTCGAACATTTTCCCGAACACGCAGATACATTGTAGTAGCGCCAAAGCCCAGATGTTACCAGGCGCATCTAGCTCCCAACGCCTCCACCAAGACTGAATTCTACTTAGCAAGGTTATTTTTCCTCTTACCTTTATCCGAGCCGTTTATAATAATCAAGAACAGCTGGAACAGCCAGTCTGAGGGACTACAATCGATTTTGCTGCTCGTTCATAACAGCAGACTTATGCGTGATACTGAAATTGGTAATGCCTAGGCGTCAAACCATGTTCTCATTCACACGCATTGGATGGCTCATCTCTCAGCTGCGCTCTCAAAGCTTTTATGAAGAAGTCTTTAATGTGTACGATAAGACAATGCAGCCCAGGTGCCTCGCTTCACAGATCACAAAGCGAAGAAGGCAGCAGCAAGGCGGATGAGAGAATTTTCGAATCCACACAGTAGTGCTGCCGTAACTGCATCAGCTCCAAGAAGTTTGAGTTGACTGCCCAAACAAATCGGGCCGAGTCCCGGAAAGGGAACCGCTTTAGTCAGCACAGCCAGACGACGGCAGAGAAAACCTAGAGCTAATCGTAAAACCAATATGGCTGCAGTGACCACCGCCCTGGAGCGGATCCTAAACGTGAAGAGCAACAGAAAACTTTACGAAGTTATTTCCCGACACCAAGGAGTTCTGTTGATAGGAAAAGGAAAGATTTGTTGTTATCAGCTCGTCCAAGATCATGTGTTGATGCAAACACTACGAGTACCTTGATGACCACCTAATCATCAACTAGTCGTCAACGAGGGGCGGAGTTTTAACCCTCTCTGGTCTATGTGTGATCCTTCTCCCCAAAAACGCACTGACACAATAAGGTGTCCGCGAAGCGTAGCATCTTCGTTGAAGAATGCAAGTTCTGGCTCGAGATTCTAGGGTTCCGTTAGGTGATTAAACAAGTATGGGTGATTATATAGTTCCTGATGGCTTTTGTACGGTAATTCTTAAGTCTATCCGAAAGAAGGGGAATAGAACAAATAGGATGAACGACTGTGGCACAAATTCCTGCGACATTATTGTAATGGTATTTGCCATTCTTATTCTCAGATTGTTTAGGAATGGGCGGGTACCGAGAAAAATAACCAATCAAGTCGAGTTTCGAAAGTGCTGTGGGCTCACAGATCAAACATTCGTAGCAACGAAGATTCCTCTGTTTCCATTCTAACTAACCTTAGCAGTCAGTTTCATCCATCCTGCAGTGGATAACAGAGTTACCGATTGTGCTAACAAAAAAGAGCGATTTGATCAAAGCTCTACCACTGTACGAGTTCTGGTTCATAACAATCCCTTTTTTCATACTGTGTTTGAAGTGCGGCAAAAATTTTGTATCCTGTCGCCCGTTCTGTTTAGCTACGTAGTTATCAGGCTTTTCGGAGTGGCAGTAAGCAATTTTGACGATGTTGAATTCGCACCAGGGCGTCGGTCGACTAACTTCTAATGTGCCGATGACAGCAATCTTTGAGTGTCAAAACATTACGCCTTACATAACGAAATGTCCTTTGAGGTGGTTAAATTAATGACGCGGAGGACATTACGCTTGAGATACGTCTCTGTGTAACAGAAAACCAGTGTCAGGCTTTTGACTACCAGATATCAAAGAGTGGAACAGTTCGATCATATAGGGCAGAAACTGCTGCCAAATGAACAGAACATGGATGCCAGTTCTCCATGTATCGATGCTGTTTACAGGATTTTTTCAAGCCTGAAAACGTTCACTGGGTCCGTCTCCATAAAGATCCTCATGTAACAGGTGTTGGTTTGATCACTTCTCTTTTGCGGGTACAAATGCCAGACTGTCTGAAGTGCGGCAAGGTTGTATCTTGTCGCCCGTCCTGTTTAATTTGTGAGGGTACAAATGCCAGGCTGTACGTGTTAAAAACCAGCTAAAGCTCGAAGTCTTTGAGTCTGAAAACGGTAAGATAGTCGGGACAGGTTAAACGAGCATCACGTGAATGCCTCAGGCGATCCACGAAAGACGACTTAAGGCGTCTGAGTACGACATTCTCGGCCAGCAGCATGATTGCAATGTTGCAAACATGACTCATTAGGAGGAGGCGAAGGGGGGGGTAAATGGATACCTTGACCAAAATAGCCTGTGAATAGATGGAATTTGTTCTGAGACCTCTGGCATTCAGCCTTTGTTACTTAAAGACGGTAAATCGGGCCTTCCAGACCCACAGTTGGAAATCCTCGCACGCAAAAAGGAAAAATTACGATATCCTTGGGGCTCACTAGATCAGGAAGCATCATAGGCATAGCAAGTCGAAATTGGTAATTTGCCTAGGCTGGTCCTCATCATGTCAGAAACTGGTTGCTGCTGTTATGTTATGTTATGTTTCGTTCAACATCCCCGGCTTTGGGAAAAAGGAATAGTGACTGGAAGGAAGATACACACGATCCAGGCGAAACGCGAACGTATGTGAGTGAAAGACATGACTGTGCAAACAATGTTCGTTATGCCATCAAACAGATAACTGATAAAGCACCTCAGATTTTCGGACTTATTATGCTATGACGGGTGTTCGGACACGCTCCACGATTGTGCAAAGAAGCCTGTAACCCATAGCAAGGTAACTTGTTATTAGTTGGCTTTACATGCGAAGTTACCCTAAATTAAGCTTGTTGACAAAGATAAATTGCTGCTCGGTTCCTCCGTCTGTATATAAAACGGCCAGCTACTTCAAGCATCTTAGGGGTACTTAGCAAAGGAGTAAGCGAAGAAGGAGGTTCTCTTCATAGCTTAGCAGTTCATTCAGTTTTTTCAAACTTAGTAAATAACTGATAGAACCGATCTTAGCTCAGCATCCTAAAGGAAATTTTAGATCACAGGACTGCGAGCAAGAGGGCTGAACTGTGTGGTCATTGGATACCAGAGGTGTTGCTGCTACTGCACACATCTCTGGGTTGATCCTTCATCTAACCCCCCGAACCCATAGAATGCGTGAAAGTTCCTCCTCCTCAATACGCTCTTGAGAGACACAGGAGCCAGAAGTCATCACTCCTTTCTTCTGTACAGGTTACTTTTCCAATCAATTCGTAGCTTATGTGTGAAAAAGCGCCTTCAAGTCCGACAGAGGCTGAGATCCATTAACACAAAATATAGGAAATGGCGTTTGAAAAGAACTAAATATCAAGCACTAACCTTGAGGGCCTTCTCAAGATACTTGACCTTGGTCTGCATATCAGTAAGAACGGATAAGTTGGTAGATAGCTTCTCAACACCACCGTTCTTATAATTGGCGTAGAAATCCGCCGCGTGAGTGGATGAGACGCTAGGCATGTTGTGTGTCCTGTTGTGGACAGGGGCGTTTACGTGGTCACTGCGTTTGTGTGATTTTTTCTTGGCTTTCCCTGGCCGCTGGACTTCCGGAGGTGAAGTAGTCGTCGGGACCTGCGGCGAATCGTCAGCAGGCTCAACTGTGCATTCGAAATTTGGCGATGGTGGTTCAGTAGCCCAACCATTGGTTGTGACCTCGGATTTCAAAGTTTCTCTAGTCGGGACCACAACTTCTGGTGACAGGAGTTCCTCTGGCTGGGCCGGAGATGCCAAAGGAGTTTCGCGCGATTTCGTGGAGATAGCTTGAGACTTCGGTTTTTGCACCTCAGTTGGCTTGCTTGAAGTTTTTGCTGGTGGTGTCTCTGGAACCGGCTTCGGGGGATTACTGACAACTGCTGCATCCGCAGACGCAAGCGAGGATTCCGAAATGCCATCGTCATCTTGTTCGGTCCGCTTCTTTGGCTTTCTCTTACGTTTCAGAAACTCTTTCTTTGATTGCTTCGATAAAGAAGATTTTCGAGGAGTACGATCGAGGAAAACGAACTCAGAGAATCCGGCTCGGAAAGGGTAGAACAGAGTGAATGTCAAAACGCAAACGAAAATGAAGACTCCGATGCCGATTAGGAGTGCTTCAAAGTTTACCGATATCGCCATCTAGAAGAGGAAGAGAGGAAAATTATAACTATTATAAGTAGAAAGAAGAAAAAACAAATTATGCTTTCCGGTACAAAGTCGACTAATGAAAACAGTTGGTCTTGTTATAGGATGTTCAACCATACCAACTACACACAAGATGAGTTTTGAAGCGAAAAAATATGCGTCCGGCAGTTCGGCATATGAGACATGGCCATTACAAAATCCCAACTAGGGGAAAAATAGGAGTTTAAAGCACCCGACAAGAAAACGAAGACTCGGTGGAAATTGCCAAGTAGCATAGAATGACAGAACTATGAGACACAGTATAAGAGGTATGACTACAACGAACATATCCAGTTTCCTGATCTCCTTGAAACAGGTCAAGCTCAATATCGAAGATATCAAGCCTGAATTCAAGGATTATGACGTCTAATGCCAACGGTTTAGCTTCTGACTTAAGTCAGGAGGTGTCATATGAACGAAGAAGCTTGGTTGTGTTAAAACACATTTTAAATCTCACGTTCTCTGAGATTAATTTGCATGCATAACAATACAGGATAATTTTTTTTCTGAGAATATAGGGTAGGAGTGAGACGATGTCACCAAACATAATATTGAACAAACGCCAATAGTCACTAGTTATGGCCAAAAAACGGTATTGAAGGCGCCTATTGCAGTCTTGAATCTTGGATTTATTTAACCCTCTTAAGTGCATATCTATCGTGTTTTGTTGTGCCAAAAGGATTAGTAGAATTGCAAAGAGAGAGACACAACGAATTTATTGCATTTGGATTTTGGCAAGGGAAGAGGATAAGACTTGGTAACACAAAGGCCATTAAACTTTACTAGAAAATTGTGAGTTGCATGAAACAACACATCCGTCGGTACAACAATTAGCAAAACCGAGCTGTTAATATCGTGACTAAGTTACGGGTCCTCAGGTGTGGACCAATAAATGTGGACGGCATGACCACGGAAAAGTGGAAAGGTTCGGGAGGAATTCGCGGGAGAGTTTTACCCCTAATGCAAAAATGCGTTTTGAAACGCGTGAGTAGGTTGTTGTTGTACAAAAAACAAGCTAAAGTGTTGCCTTAGCTAGTGGAAAGCAAAAACCGATCAAAGTGGTGCGTATAATCAGCGTTTTAGCTACCAAACAAGTGGAAGGGGGAATTGTTACCGAATAAGGGTATTTCTTTGAGAAGAGAAGGGCTTCTTTTGGAATCTTTAATCTGTAAATTTTCAAGGCTGGTTCCCCAGCTCGTCGTCGGACTATAGGATGTGTACAGGAACACAAGGGTATTTTGTGTAAAAGAATTCACACTGACGCATGGGCTTAAACAAAGAGTAAATCCAAGCAATTATGGGATATAGAGTTACACAGCGATTATAAAGAAAACGTGAAATAATCGAGAAGTGTGATATTCATAATACGCGAAAATTAAGCGTACATTAAGTGGAATACAACGCAAATAAAGTTGTCAGAACTGCAATGGTGTTAATATAAAAGAATGGGATTAAATCACAAATTGTTTCCTGACCACAAAATATGCAATTACCACGCTCAGTGAGTTTCCTCACTGAACTAATAGTACGAAAGTAGAGCCGTAACCAGATAATAAGAAGACTAAAGGCTACGGAGCTCCGAGACACCCATTATGCACAGATCCAACTAGATAATATAGCGCGAATCAGGCCTGTTGTTTTGGAATTTTAATGATCTAGGAGTTCGGAAGGGTTATCCAATTGTTGGAGGTTGACCAGAAATGATGTTATGGGGTCATTATACCTCAATGGAATACTCAAAAATACAAATAAAATGTAAAGGACATCGTAAAACTATGCATAATGAATCACAAGACTTTTGATAGAGGCGCTCACGAAAGGCGATTGCGATAGTCAGATACGCGAATCACAAAATTGGAGGGCGAAAACTATTTCGATTACTTCGCACAAAATTCCCCACATTCAAAGTATTACAGAGCAGAGTTTGTACATGTGGAGTGTACCCACTTAAGGTAAAAAATTTTCTTCTGAAA